CAAAACATTTTTTTTTTTTATTTTTTTTTTTTTTTTTTTGGTGCACGGTGCACAAAAAAGAAGATAAATACCAGGCTCTTAAACTCTTATTCCTTTTTTATTATAACCTCACATAAGTTACTTTATAATATCATCCTAACACTTGGAACATGACATTATGTACAATGTAAACACGTTTTATGTTGCTGCTTTAGGAACAAAACCTAGGTTCGTAATTCTAAGGAAATGTAAACTTGGAAAGAGCCTTGGGAGGATTAACCAAAGGAATCCTCCAGCCATTGCAAGAAACTTTCCTCCTTCCCAGAGGATCATCTTGTGCCTGATTTACTACACCTAGGTACAGGACACAGGTTCCTTGCCTCTGAAAGCTTTCTTTCTAGTCAGCCCCTTCCAGTTAGGAGAACTGAACTCTGATCCGTCTCCCTATGATTTCTGCTCACGTGTCCTGGGTTTCTTCAATGAAATAACTCAGAACAAGTCAACTATTTCTTTCGCTTCGGACCCATCACGTAGTCTCACATCTGCTACGACCCTTCACCCCATCCTGCATCTCTGCTCTCCAGCATGTTGATTCATTCGCTGTAGGATAAACACCACAGGGTTATTTTTGTTTATGTTTTTTGACCTTCACCTTTCCCCTTTCACCACGGGCGCCGCTCCCCTCTGGTACCCCTTGCTTTAATGACTCTAAAAACCTGAGGTCCACATGCACTACTTGATAAGTGACCAGAGCTACTGACACAGCAGCAGTTCCCTGAGATGCTCTCTGTGAACTGTGGTGGTACCGTCGCACTCACCCACGGGAAGCTCTCCTCCTTCCCTTGGACGGCCTGCTCCTAAGCTCCGAGCTCCTGTAACTGACGCTTCCATGATAAATGCAAGATTCACTTTACCAGCATTAAAGTTAATCATATCAGTTCTCATGATTCACCCACTCACGCAGTCAGTAATAATAATTTTGAAACACCAATCTGTTATCTAAACATGTTAACTGCTCCTATGACTATTTCTTAATCTGCAGATTTTTAAGAAGAGATCAAGTGAAAATTCCTTCTAACAAAGGACATCTACAGAGATAGTAATATGCATTTTTTCTTTATGCAGTTATGTCCTCAACTTGTCCCCAACAAACTTTGTATATGCTGATTTCCAAAGTTCCAGAACTTCCTCTGAAAGAAGAAAAGGTCAGCATTAACTTAGCTATTGTTTACTTCATCGCCAAATGAAAAACTTCTTAGTGATCATTAATAGTACAAAAAAACCCAAAGTGTAAACATCTGCAATTTGTCCAGTCCCATACTTTTGGCTAAAGATAAAAGGATTTATTTCTTTCTCTGCCATTTTATATTCATTCATTAAGAAAATCTTCCTATGTATAAGCTCAGTGCTTCATCACAGAAGTGTAATACACTGAGATATATAAACTTTATAAATTTTAACTATGTAAATTCCAGATGAGAATAGTTACTGGCTAGCATAGACATAAAACATACTAGTGTTGGGAGTTTATATAAATAACAATTTTCTGTTTCATGTAAAACTATTTATCCCAGTGTATTCAGAATCTAAGTAATTATTCTCTTGATAAATGCTGCATAAAGGTAACCACCAAATGCAATTTTAAAAAACAAGTTGAATATATCAATAAACTCCCAAACTGCATCTCTTGGATGCATAGGAATTTCATATAGGAAAGAGAAATTATATGGGTTTGTTTCTCCATTTATATCTTAATGAAGATACTTATAGCTGGGCTGGGAATTTAGCTCAGTGGTTCCGCCGCCTGCCTCGCAAGCGCAATGGACCCGAGTTCGACACTCGAAGACACTTATGTCTAGAAAAATCACTTAAAAGAAGACAAAACTGAAATATATTTGGCAAAATTTTATTTCTCGTGTGGAAATATGGAAAGTTAAAATTGACAAGATAGAAAAAAATACAAATATATAAGTTGTTGCAATAAGCAACCTATGGCCAAGATTCGGATGTCAAAATAATTCATAATCTAAGACCTTTCATAAAATGGGTATAACAGAACACTTTTGTCTCAGTGTGTAGAAATATTCCAACTGTGGCTAGAAGTTGCCATTCACTTATTGTGTAGATAGTGCTTTATTAGGGACAAAAACTTCTCAGCTCCTATCACTCCTGAAAGTAATCTCACATTTAAGTATTTAGGAGGGTAAATATATAGTGAGTATTTGGGGTTTTATTTCCCTAAAAATAAAGTAATGAAAGAAAGATTCAGAATGAATAAAAGTGCTCCAAAGTTTGTATTTTTATGAATACACATATTCATTCCACAGATACAAAGTATCGTATATACAAACAAAACTGGCTGTGCTCTGGGAGCTTTGACTGTTAGACCTGTGACATTTAGATCACTAGAACCTTGTTCCTTTGTAAACAGTTCTCAACCCTAATAAATTAATCGTCCCCACGACTATACTTATCAAGGTTCCGCTTTCTACTTTCTTTGAGGGAAAGAAAGCATCTTAGATTCATTGGTTTTTTTTCTGACTTCAGTTGTTATGTTCTCATCAAAATAAAGAGCGGCGGGTCGTGGGAGTAAGATCCTCTTTCTTCTTTGGGCCATCCTCTCTCTGGTTCTGGAATTGAGTTTTCCTGGTTCCATTCCCAGCTAGGAATTTCCCCTCGTCTCATCCCCCCCGCTGCAGCCCCGACAGAGGGTAATTTAATAACCCCCTTGGACGTCTCACGAGCCTGAAATCAACAGGTATCGGGCAAGGGAACAACCCAGGTGGGCTTCGGGGAGCGAACACAGCCTCAGTGCGAAAGGCGTCCTGGGGGCCGGCCGGAGGGCGCTGGGCAAAGCGGGTGGCCTCCCCCGAGCCGCAGTTCGCCCCGGGGACGCAGTGACCGCCAGGACTGACCTTAATAACCCCCTTGGACGTCTCACGAGCCTGAAATCAACAGGTATCGGGCAAGGGAACAACCCAGGTGGGCTTCGGGGAGCGAACACAGCCTCAGTGCGAAAGGCGTCCTGGGGGCCGGCCGGAGGGCGCTGGGCAAAGCGGGTGGCCTCCCCCGAGCCGCAGTTCGCCCCGGGGACGCAGTGACCGCCAGGACTGACCTCTCT